TTTCATCTAAAAGATTCTTTCACTAATTAATACTTGTGTTTAGATCATCCATCAGGTCAATGGCTTTGTCAGGCAGAATGTACAATGTAAATAGAACAAATGAATCACAAAATGAAATTATAGCACTTGTAAAGGGATGACATACAAGGTAGATGATTTAGAAAGGACTGATTTGAATATCAAAGGATAAGGGGAAGCACTTGGGAAAATCGATCCAAAATCTAAAAATTAAACATGGACAGACTGATATCTAGATTCTCATACAATTTTATCAGAGTTATGACAAAAGTAAATTCCACTGCCTTCCCGGGCCACAGCAGAGAGCTGGCCTGGAAGAGGGGCAACCGGGACAGAATCCGCCGCTAGGCGGAGGATTAGCCTAGTGAGCCACGGCGCCGGCCAAGTTGATTCAAATTCTTTACCTCAACTATATCCTTCCCTCATTTTCTCATTAGAAATAAAAGACCTTAGCCGGCGCGCGGCTCAATAGGCTAATCCTCCACCTAGCGGCGCCGGCACACCGGGTTCTAGTCCCAGTCGGGGCGCTGGATTCTTTCCCGGTTGCCCCTCTTCCAGGTCAGCTCTCTGCTGTGGCCCGGGAAGGCAGTGGAGGATGGCCCAAGTGCTTGGGTCCTGCACCCCATGGGGGACCAGGAGAAGCACCTGGCTCCTGCCTTCGGATCAGCGCGGTGCGCCCGCCGCAGCACGCCGGCCGCGGCGGCCATTGGAGGGTGAACCAAGGGCAAAGGAAGACCTTTCTCTCTGTCTCTCTCTCTCTCACTATCCACTCTGCCTGTCAAAAAAAACAAAAACAAAAACAAAAACAAAAAACACCTTAATATATGTTTTTAAAGATTTATTCTATTTTTTTCAAGGACAGAGAGACAAAGAGACAGAAAGAAAGAGAAAGGTCTTCCAACTGCTGGTTCACTCCCCAAGTGGCTGCAATGGCCGAAGCTGAGCAGATCCAAAGCTAGGATCCAGGAGCTTCTCCTGGGTCTCCCACATGGGTGCAGGTGTCCAAGGACTCAGGCCACTCTCTGCTGCTTTCCTAGGCATGTAAGCAGGGAGCTGAATCAGAAATAGAGAAACCGGAACTCGAACCGATGCCTGGATGCCAGCACTGCAGGTTGTAGCTTTAACCTGCTGCACCACAGCTCTGGCCCCAACATATTTTAAAAAATATTTATGATTTGCATGAGAAAGAGAGGGAGAGATAAATCTATTTTCCATAGGTTGGTTCACATTCCAAATGCCGGCAACAGCCTGAACAGTGCCAAGGCCAAAGATGAGAGCTGGGAACTCAGTGCAGGTCATCCAAGTAAGTGGCATGGACCCAATTACCTGGGCATCACTCCTGCCTCTCAGGGTCTATGTCAGCAGGAAGCCATAGTCAAGAGCCAGTTATGGAATCCAGGCACTCCAATATGGGATATGAGAGTCTTAAACAGCATCTTAATGAGTAGGCTCTAGAACACTCTAACTCTCAGCATTGCAACTGCTTTTTCTTGCATTAAGCTTCATATTATTATTTATGCTTAATGTTTTTTTTGTAAATAACTTCACACATACACATATTACTTCCTGCTTAAATTTTTTAATTTATTAGGAGAGAGAGAGAGAGAGAGATATCTCCCACTGGCTAGTTTAAACCCCAAATGCCATCAAGCACCAGGTTGAAGCCAGGAGCCAGAAACTCAATCTGAGTTTCCCACATGGGTGATAGGAATCCAATTGGTTGAGCCATCACCACTGTCTTCCAGGATTTGGATTAGTAGAAAGCTCTAGGAGAAGAGATGGAATTCAAATCTAGGCACTTGGATGTGGGATGCAGGCCTCCCAAGTGGTATGTTAACTGCCTCTTATATGATGTTATAACTACTATGCCAAATGCCCACCCCTATCCTGTCTCTCTCTCCCTCCCTCCCTTTTTCCTCCTTCCTTCCTTCCTTCCCTCCCTCCCTCCCTCCTTCTTCTCCTTCCCTCCCTCCTTCTTCTCTCTCCTTCCTTCCTTCCTTCCTTCCTTCCTTCCTTCCTTCCTTCCTTCCTTCCTTCCTTCCTTCCTTCCTTCCTTTCTTCCTCTTTAGATTTATTTTTTATTTACTTGAAAGACCAAGTTACAGTCCGGCGCTGCAGCTCACTAGGCTAATCCTCCGCCTTGCGGCGCCGGCACACCGGGTGCTAGTCCCATTCGGGGCACCGGATTCTGTCCTGGTTGCCCCTCTTCCAGGCCAGCTCTCTGCTGTGGCCAGGGAGTGCAGTGGAGGATGGCCCAAGTGCTTGGGCCCTGCACCCCATGGGAGACCAGGAGAAGCACCTGGCTCCTGCCTTCGGATCAGCGCGGTGCGCAGGCTGCAGCGCGCTGGCCGCAGCGGCCACTGGAGGGTGAACCAACGGCAAAGGAAGACTTTTCTCTCTGTCTCTCTCTCTCACTGTTCACTCTGCCTGTAAAAAAAAAAAAAAAAAAAAAAAAGACCAAGTTACAGAGAGAGGAGGAGACACACACACACACACACACACAGAGAGAGAGAGAGAGAGAGAGAGAGATCTTCCATATGCTAATTCATTACCAAAATGCCTCAGTGGCCATGGCTGGGAGAGGCAGCAGAAGACAGGAGACAGGATTCTGGAGCTTCTTCCTGGTCTCTCATGTGGGTGCAGGGGCCCAAGCACTTGAGCCATCTTCTACTGCTTTCTCAGGTGCATTAGCAGGGAGCTGGATCAGAAGTGGAGCAGCTGGGACTTGAACTGGTGCCTTTATGGGATGCTAGTGTTGCAGGCAGAGGCTTAACCTATTAGGCCACAATGCTGCCCCCTATCTCTTTTTTTTTTTTTTTCAAAATACTTTTCTTTTTGCCTTGATGTCTCTCAATCTTTTTTTTTAATTTTATTTATTTTATTTTATTTATTTATTTTTTATTTTTTTGACAGGCAGAGTGGACAGTGAGAGAGACAGAGAGAAAGGTCTTCCTTTGCCGTTGGTTCACCCTCCAATGGCTGCCGCAGCCGGCGCACCTCGCTGATCCGATGGCAGGAGCCAGGAGCCAGGTGCTTTTCCTGGTCTCCCATGGGGTGCAGGGCCCAAGCACCTGGGCCATCCTCCACTGCACTCCCTGGCCACAGCAGAGGGCTGGCCTGGAAGAGGGGCAACAGGGACAGAATCCGGCGCCCCAACCGGGACTAGAACCCGGTGTGCCGGCGCCGCTAGGCGGAGGATTAGCCTAGTGAGCCGCGGCGCCGGCCTCTTTTTTAAGGATTCTTTTGTTCTGCTTGTTTTAGTCTATATTATTTTACTTCAGAGTTTTTGCTGACTGTTCATCTTTTTTTTAAGATCTATTTATTTACTTGAAAGTCAGAGTTATAGGGAGGCAGAGGCAGAGAGAAAGAAAGAGAGAGAAGTCTTCTGTCTGCTGGTTCACTCCCCAAATGGCTGCAATGGCCAGAGCTGGGCCAAAGCTAGGAGCCAGGAGCTTCTTCTCGGTCTCTCACATGGGCACAGGGGCCCAAGGACTTGGACCATCCTCTGTTGCTTTCCCAGGTGCATTAGCAGGTAGCTGGATCAGAAGTGGAACAGCTGGGTATTAAAGTGTGTCTATGTGGAATGCCAGCACTGCAGGCAGCAGCTGTACCAGCTATGCCACAGCACCAGCCATGCTGTTAACCATTAAGATTAATTAAAATGCTATTTGGGAGCTGTGTATGTCTGTGGTAATGTTGACTGTGGTTTCCTTGTAAGGCAGGGGTTCTCAACTGGGGGATAATTTTGCTCTTCCCATAGGGCATATTTGGTAAGGTCTGGAGACAGTTTTGATTGTCACAGTGGGGAAATGCTACTGCAGTTTACTGGGAGAGGCCAAGCATGCTGCTAAGCATTCCTTAATGCACGAAAGGAAAGCTCCAGGAAAGGATTACATAGTCCAAAATGTCCCTGATGCTGAGATCACTGGGCATAATCACCTGGCTATATTGATGATTAAACCATGGGGATATCTATTCACAAAACAGTTTTACAAAAATTGTTACCTATAAAGCTACTAGGGCAGCATTGATTTCTCTTTGCAGAATTTTAAAAAATAAGTTCAGCTTACAGTGTTTTGGGTGTAAGGGAGAGAAAGGGGGTGGGATTCCTAGTCCCTCTGCTTTCCTAGTGCCTGGGTTTCCAGAGGCCAGGATCTCTGCTGCAGGGCCTTTATAGAAAAGGCTTTGCAGTGTCCTGTGGGGACTGGGATGGAGTAATCATCTGGCTGTGATGTGTGTCTGGGTTTTAACCATTCCTTTATTTTTTTAAGGTTCATTTTATTTGAAAGGCAGACATATTTTCCACCTACTGGTTCACTCCCCAGGTGCTACCAGCAGTCAAGGTGGGCCAGACTGAAACTAGGACTCCATCCTCGTCTCCCACATGGGTGGCAGGGGCTTGACCCAAGTACTTGAGCCGTCACTTGCTGTCTCCTAGAGTGTGTGTTAGAAGGAAATTAGATCAGAAATAAAGGAGACAAGCACTCTGATTTGGCAATGTGGGCATCCCAAGCACCATCTTAACTGCTGAGCCAAATGTCCACCCATTAACCCCTTACTAGATTTTCAACCGATCACCCAAATCTCACTGTCTTCTAGGATACCAGCAGGTTTCAATTTCTGTGGGATTCTCTCTCTCTCTCTCTCTCTCTCTCTCTCTCTCCCTCTCCCTCTCCCTCTCCCTCTCCCTCTCCCTCCCTTCCTCCCTTCCTCCCCTGTAACTGAGTAAATATTTCTTTTGGAGGAAAGTATTAGGGATAGAATAGGGTTTGTCTGTCTATACTTATACAGATTTTAAACTCCAAGTCTTATGTTAAAAGGTAATGGATTAATGGTTGATGGATTAAAGATAGAGGCTTAAATCCAATCATGGTGCCTGGGAGGGAGGCTTAGTGAGGTCATTGGGGACCTGCTCATAGAAGTTAAAAGTCAAGAGAAGTTTGATTCTACAAGCTGAGTGTGCTCTCTGTCTCTCTGTCTAGGCTTCCTGTCTTGCCATGTGATCATCCCTCTACCATTCGCCAGTTTCACCAGATGGGATACCCAATCTTTTACTGCGAGCCTCCGAAACTGTGACCTGAAACAAACCTTCCTTCCTAAGAAGCCCCTTTCAGGTAATTTAGTGAAAGTAATGAAAAGCATATTAACACAGCAGACAAACTGAAAAGGTCGAGTTTTAAGTCTGAAGTGATGTTTTAAGCTTTCTCAGCTCTGGTAAATCAGCTACCGTTCTCCTATGTACTTTTCAGCTTTCAAAAGTACGTTCACGTCATCATTGTCTCCTCTCTTCTTTATGTTTTGGATTTAGACTCTTCATACTTCATTTATTGTTGTTTTACAGAGTGTCCAAAGGGCATGGCAATAAACACATTCTTTCTACCATCTTAAAGGGAAATGCAAAATGTCCTTTATCCTTCTGCATGGCTTTCAAGTATCATATAATGCAAAACTGACATTAAATAATGAAATAATTCTAACTCTGGGAATCCATCTCTTTTTCTGGGATAGGTTGTCTTTTGGACAAGAGAGGGAAAATCACCAGAGAATACACACATCAGCTCTAAAACAAGTGTTCATTAAAAAAAATTCAGTAGAATTTCAGAGTAGCAGGAATGGGACCAGCACTGTGGCTCAGAGGGTTAATTTATTGCCTGTGATGCCAGCATTCCATATCTGAACAGTTTAGAAACCTGATTGTTCTGCTTCCCGTCTAGTTCCCTCCTAACATGCCTAGGAATGCAGTGGAAGATGGCCGAAGTACTTGGGTCCCTGCTGCCTATATGGAAGACCAGAATGAAATTCCTAGCTTCTGACTTCAGTCTGACCCAGCCCTAGGCATTGAGGCCATTTGGGGAGTGTGTCAGGGGATAGAAGATCTCTTTCCCTCTCCTTCTCCTTTTCCTTCTCCCTTTGTCACTCTGCCTTTCAAATTAAATAAATAAATCTTAAAAAAAGTAGTAGGCACGTGGGTACCTTTTGTCCATTCACTCTTAACAAAGTGAGATATACTGTATTAAAGGCACTTTTCAGCTGAATGATTAGGAAAGCACTGGCCCCTCTTCTAGAGTAGTAAGAGGCTGGGATACTTGAGCAAATGATGTGATGACTCTTGGCAGCAGCACTGCCCCTACCTACATCATTGCAAAACCTCAGAACAAATAGCCAGTAGTGTGCGCAGGAGGTTGAACCTGGGGCTACTTGGCCAGGCAAAGACTCTTGTGCCCCATTGACATAGTGGTAGTTGGAGCCACGAGGAGAGTGGGAACAGGCACAATGGACCAAAGACTAAACTACTTCTATGGATTTTTCAGGTTCTTATATGCTCCCCAGATTCCCATGTAAATCTGGAGAACTGGGCTTAAAGTAAATAAATACATCTAAAATGCATCTTTCCCAACTCGAGTTGGTGAATTAAGTACCACATACAAGTGTATGTGTTTGAAATGCCCCACTGTCTCACCATGGTCTGACATGAATGAGTCTGAAATTAGGCTGTTGTCAAGGCTTGTTGGGAGATGAAAACAGACTTACCTCTTCAGTGCAAAAACTGTGGAGACTCTTGCTATGAAAATTTCAGTATGTTAGCCCTCTGACATTCAAACGCCAGGGCAACGTGGTAATGATCAAGAAGTTTATTTTTTTTAAAGATTTAGTTATTTATTTGAAAGTCAGAGTTACACAGAGAGAGGTGAGGCAGAGAGGGAAAGAGAGAGGTCCTCCATCTGCTGGTTCACTTCCCAGTTGGCCCCAACGGCTGGAGCTGCACCGATTCGAAGCCAGGAGCCAGGAGCTTCTTCCAGGATTCTCACGTGGGTGCAGGGGCCCAAGGACTTGGGCCATCCTCTACTGCTTACCCAGGCCATAGCAGAGAGCTGGATGTGAAGTGGAGCAGCCGGGTCTTGAACTGGCGCCCATATGGGATGCTGGTGCTTTAGGCCAAGGCATTAACCCACTGTGCCACAGCGCCAGCCCCGACCAAGAAGTTTAAATACCACAAGTTGAAGAGGGGGCAAGAGCCACTTTTTGGGAAATCTACCTCACAGAGACCAGCATGGAGCCCAGCAAAGTCTGGAGGATCACATATTCTCTACCTATCCTGGGCCAAGGTGCAGGTTTCATATCAGGACTGGCTCTGAGGCTGGGCTGATCAAATGCTTCTCTGCTGTCTGGCTGCTCTCACAGAAGGAAGATCAGGGGTATGTGTGTACCACACCAATTTGTCTGAGATCAATACTAGACTGATGCAGGCCTTAGGCTGTCTGGGAGTTGATCTGAGTAGAATGATGGGGACATTGTGACTGGAGGTTGAGAAAGACCATCCTCAGTATCAAATTAAACCACAGGTAATTAACCCACACTGAAGCCACCAAGGAAAATGTAGCTGAGGAAAATAATATGGTTCAATCTAAGTAGACTGAGTTCTTTGGGTTAAAAATACCTTGGTGAGAGCCACTATTTGGCCCAGCTGTTGAAACATCCATTTCCCACATCAGTGTTGCCTGGATTCGATTGTCAGTTCTGCTCCTGACTCTAGTCTCCTGCTAACTCAGACCCTGGGCAGCAGTGATGATGGCTTTGTAATTCTACTCACCCTTCCCCCACCATATAGAAGACCTAGACTGAGTTCCAGGCTCCTGGCTTCTGTCTGGTCTAGTCTCTGTCATTGTGGGCATTTAGGGAGCGATCTAGTAGATAGGAGTGCTATAATCTCTCTGTTTCTTTGGCTCTCAAATAAACAAAAATTTTAAAAAATACATTTTTTATCATGTTTCATTTTAAATATTTTGTTTTACAGGGTTGTTATATTAAAAGATGCTATGAGCAAACAATCTCATAGTTTCCAGGATCCTACTGAAGATGACAGGCTCTTTACAATAACAGCATATTCATAGCTTAGGATTCAACTTCATGGATATCATAGTGCATGCTAGACATGACAGGGCTGGTTTTAGGTAAACAGAAAAAATCCTTCAGTGAATGGGCATTGATAAAAATGAGAGAACTTCAAAAAGTTTGTGGAAAAATGGATTTAAAGATAAGTTTGTTGCATATTCATTTCCCTAAAGTCTCTGAAGATTATGCTTATGTGGACTATATCTCTTTAAATATATATGTGTGTGTGTGTGTGTGTGTGTGTGTATTGATGGATTTGAGAAGGGCAATGGCATTTAGGGGAGTGGATGTGGTTATTATCATCTATTCTCTCTCTTCTGCATTGAGTCTGCTTTTGGGTAAAGAATAGCCCAAGATGCCTCTGGTGCACTATGATACCTTGGACTGTCTGGCTGCATTTCTGATGCTGTGTATGTGGGTCTGATTTGTTTTTACTGTGACGTAGTGGTAAAGATGACTGAAGGTAGGAGGGGTGGCAGAGACAGAAGGTCTCAGTCTGTTTGGACTGAGGCTTAGGAAAAAGGAAGCTTCTAGGTGGTATAACTTGTTTACTAGAAATTGAATCCAGAGCTGCAGTTGGTATTAAAGTGTTCCTTTCCTTTCCTTTACCTATAGCAATGATAAGAGGAAGGTAATTTTTTCTTTTTCTTTTTTTTTAACCAAAGAAACTTTTTATTTAAGGAATACAAACTTCATGCAATTCCTAAGTACAACTTTAGGAATATAGTGATTCTTCCCACCATACCTGCCCTCCCACCCCTGTGCCTCTGAGGTCCTTTCCAAGAATCTTTGCCTGTGCCAATGTCTGATAGGGTTTCCACAGTGTGCTCTAATAACTTGATGATATTGGGTCATAGATTTAGGTCTTTAATCTATTTTGAGTGGATTTTTGTGTAAGGTGTAAGGTAGGGGGTTTTGCTTCATACTTCTGCATGTCGAAATCCAATTTTCCCAGCATCATTTTTGGAGGAGGTTGTTCTTACTCCAGGGATTGGTTTTAGCTCCTTTGACAAATATAGGTTGGGGGGCAGCACTGTGGCATAGTGGGTAAAGCCTCTGCCTGCAGTGCCGGCATCCCTTAAGGGCATTGGTTCAAGAGCCGCTGCTCCACTTCTGATCCAGCTCTCTGCTATGGCCTGGGAAAGCAGTAGAAGATGGCCCAAGTCTTTCTGCCTGTGCACCTGTGTAAGAGATCTGGAAGAAGCTCCTGGCTCCTGGCTCCTGGCTCCTGGCTTTGAATCGGCGCAGCTCTGGCCATTGCGGCCATCTGGGGAGTGAACTAGCGGATGGAAGACCTCTCTCTCTCTCTCTCCTCTGCCTCTGTGTAACTCTGCCTTACAAATAACTAAATAAAGCTTTAAAAAATAGGTTTGGGGCCAGCATTGTGGCGTATGGGTAAAAGCGCCACCTATAGTACCAGCATCCTATATGGGCACCAATTCATGTCCCTGATGCTCCACTTCTGATGCAGCTCTCTGCTATGGCTTGGGAAAGCAGTAGAAGGTGGCCCAAGTCCTTGGGACCCTGCACCCCTGTGGGAGACCGGGAGGAGGCTCCTGGCTCCTGGCTTCAGATGGATCCAGCTCTGGCCGTTGCAGCCATTTGGGGAGTGAACCAGCATATGGAAGACCTCTCTCTCTCTCTCTCTGCTTCTCCTTCTCTCTCTGTGTGAATCTGACTTTCAAATAAATAAAATAAATCTTAAAAATAATATATATATATATATATAGTTTGGATGTAGATGCTTTGATTGATTTCTGGCATTTCTATTTGTTCCATTGGTCTATCCATCTGCTTTTGTACCAGTACCAGGCTGTTTTGATTATAACTGCCCTGTAGTGTGTCTTGAAATCTGGTATTTTGGTGCTTCCAGCTTTTTTTTTTTTTGTATAAGATTGCTTTAGCTATTCTTGGTTGCCTGTGTTTCCATATGAATTTCAGCATCATTCTTGCTATGTCTGAGAAGAATGTCCTTGGTATTTTCAATAGTATCACATTAAATCTGTAAATTGCTTTCGGAAGTATGGACACTTTGATGATATTGATTCTTCTAATCCATAAATATGGAAGTTTTTTTTTTCCAGTTTTTTGTATTTTCTTCTCTTTCTTTCTTTAATGTTTTGTAATTCTCACTGTAGAGATCTTTGACATCCTTGGTTAAATTATTACAAGGTATTTGATTTTTTTGTAGCTATTGTGCATGGGATTGATCTTAGAAGTTCTTTCTCAGCTGTGGCACTTTCTGTGTATACAAAGGCTATTGATTTTTGTGTATTGACTTTATAACTTGCTAGTTTACCAAACTCTTCTATGAGTTCTAATAGTATCTTAGTGGAGTCTTTTGGAAACCCTATATATAGAATCATGTCATTTGCAAATAGGGGTAGTTTGACTTCCTCCTTCCCAATTTGTATCCCTTTGATTTCTTTTTCTTACCTAATGGCTCTGGCTAAAACTTCTAAGACTGTATTGAATAATGATGAGAGTGGTCATTGTTGTCTGATTCTAGATCTCAGAGGGAATGCTTCCAACTTTTCCCCATTCTTAGGACGCTGTCCGGGGGTTTGTCATAAATTGCCTTGACTGTGTTGAGGAATATTCCTTCTATACCCCATTTGCTTAGAGTTTTCACCATGAAAGGGTGCTTTATTTTATCAAATGCTTTCTCTGCATCTATTGAGATAATCATTTGGTTTCTGTTCTTCAGTTTGTTAATGTAATGTACCTCATTGATTGATTTGTGAAGTATGAACCATCTCTGCTTACCAGGAATAAATTCCACCTCATTCTGATGAATGATCTTTGGGATGTGTTATTGGATTCAATTGGCTAGAATTTTGTTGAGAATTTTGCATCTATGTTCATTAGGAAAATCAGTCTGTAGTTCTCTTTCTCTGTTGTATCTTTTTCAGGTTTAAGAATTAAGGTGATGCTGGCTTCATAGAAGGAGTTTGGGAGAATTCCTTCCCTATCAATTGTTTTGAATATCTTGAGAAGAGTTGTAGTTAGTTCTTCTTTAAATGTCTGATAAAATTCCTCAGTGAAGCCATCCAATCCTGGGCTTTTCTTTGTTGAGAGAGTCTTTATTACTGATTCAATTTACATCTTGGTTAAGGGGCTGTTTATGTTTTCTATGTCTTCATGGTTCAATTTAAGTAGGTTGCATGTGTCCAGGAATCTACCCATTTCTTGTAGGTTTCTCCTTTTTTTTTGGCATACAGCTCTTTGTAGTAA